AAGCGTCCCTCCTATTGGCCAAAATTTAAAATAAGCGCACCCCCTCGAATAAGCGACCCCTCCCCTCCCCCCAGCTTCTAAATTTAAGGTCGCCCCAAAGCGAATTCGAGAGTGGCGGGCTCAGAAGGAAAAGCTTGAACTACAATTTAAGAAAACACATGGCAGTGAGAGGAAAAGAACTGAAGGAGGTGGTCGTTAACCCTTCGATGAAGATCTTGAGGGAAAATTACTTGAGTGGATTTACGAGAGAAGATCGAAAGGCCTCAGAGTCTCAAGAAAGTTAATTATGGCGAAAGCGACGTCAATGCATGAAGAAAAAAGTGCCAATAGCGGCGAGCGTAAAGACGTCAATGCCAGTCACAATTGGCTTGCAAAGTTTATGGCTAGAAATGGTTTAACCATTCCTCACTTTCATCTACAACCGCAGTTCATATATGAATTATTTCATATATACACTTCACATCATTTCACTCCTCACGAGAAGATATGAACTCAATTAATTGACCTCGTTCCCGATGCTTCTTCTTTCCAATTGCTTAAATTGGAAAATTTACNAAAAAAGTGCCAATAGCGGCGAGCGTAAAGACGTCAATGCCAGTCACAATTGGCTTGCAAAGTTTATGGCTAGAAATGGTTTAACCATTCCTCACTTTCATCTACAACCGCAGTTCAAATATGAATTATTTCATATATACACTTCACATCATTTCACTCCTTACGGGAAGATATGAACTCAATTAATTGACCTCGTTCTCAATGCGTGGCTTCATAGCTCAGTTGGTAAAGCATCGCACCGGTATCGCGGAGGTCACGGGTTCGAATTCCGTTGAAGCCTTGATTTTTTTCAGGCTTCTTCTTTCCAATTGCTTAAATTGGAAAATTTACTTCGATGATCATTCTTCACTTTTATATTTTGAATGTAAGAAGGCTTAAAATGAAGCATGGTTATCAAGACAGTGATATCATGGCAATGGATGAGACCCCTGTGTGGCAGGACATGTTATCAGACACAACTGGTGATAGAACAGGAGCACAAACAATTAGAATGAAGACCACAGGGCACGAAAAGGTCTGAATATCAGTTTGCCTTTCCGCAAAAGCCGATGGAACCAAACTGAAACTGATGATAGTTTTTGCTGGTGCTAAGCGCAAATTAAAACGCCTTAATGATAAATATACAGGAAAGTGTTACATCGCATCATCAGCAAATGCTTGGATGAATGAAGAGCTGACCAAATCCTGGGTTCAAAATGTGTTGGGCAGATTGTTATTACTGGACAGCGCTTGTTGGCTTGGGATGCGTGTCGTTGTCATTTAGCTGACACTGTCAGGGAGGAGTTGCGTATCAGCAGGGTTGACACCGTCATTATTCCTGGTGGCTGCACCAAATACATACAGGAACTGGATGTCTCATAGAACAAACCCTTCAAGAAGTACATCAGAGAAAAATACGACGAGTGGATGGCGGGCGGCATTCACGAGTTCACAGTAAATGGCAATATGAGGGGTCCCCCAAGAGAGATGATGGTGGACTGGATTCTGGCAGCTTGGGATAGCTTTGACGGGCAACTTTTGATCGACTTCTTCAAGAACTGTGCACTGACCGTTGCAACGGATGGCAGTGAAGATGCTGAAATTCATTGCCTAAAGCCAAGCCAACCTTGCGCAGCAGGCCTAGACCGGCTGAAGAGATTAAATCACGTAGATTATGAAGAGAGAAGATCCTTTAGAGAGACTAACACAGTCTGATGAAGATGATGCAGCCGATGAATTTCAAATCATTGATATTGCTGAGGATGAGGAAGAAATCGACATTGATAATTAATACATGTGGACACGTTGAGCGAACTAGTTAACTGCGTATGCTGTACTAGACTTGCACATTCTTTCAGTTTGACAAACATGTTAAGTTTGGGGAAAAAATTACGATGTATTAAAAAAAATAATCATGTCAAGCCACGATTTGGGGAAAAATTTAATAAGCCTCCCCTCTCGAATAAGCACACCCCATCTTCTTCTAAATTTGAAATATAGGCGCCCCGGCCGCTTATTCAAAGAGTTACGGTAATTATTTATCACCCCCCACCCCCCCCCCCCCCCCCCCCCC